ACTGTGAAATTAAGGACCAAATGGACCAACAGCAATGGCACAGCGCTCCGCTTGAGTTGCTGAGGCCAAGGTCCCTCCACACTAAGTCTCTGATTCCACTCTGGAGTCATCTGTATCCACCCGTTTCTAACACCCGCTGTGCCCAGCACGCACACCTGCACCGGATGCCCTCAGGATCCCCCATGAGGACACCCAGATGGCTGTGGCTGTCTCCGAGGATGACATGGCACCTGTCATGTGACTCAAGCCGCTGCAAGAGGGCTAGCGGCTCTCTATGCTGACTAAGCTCGTGGGGCCAAACTCTCCTAAACTCTCTACTTTCTCTCTAAACTTCGCTTGACTCTCGATCCTTAAACTCCGTGTGGGTTCTCCGGGATTTCCGCAAGGTCCGGGCTCAGCGTCCACTACTCACTCGTTGTGAGCTAGACAGCTGCCCTTATTCCTACTGTTGGAATTCCACACACTCACACCCTCTCTAGCGCGTCCTAGCACCTTAGAGAATTTGGGGGAGGGGAGAACTTCTTTTCCAAAATCCGGTATGTACAGGATATAAGGAATAATTATTTTTAGAAATAATAGATGGCAAATATTGGTGCCATATGGCACCTGGGTACCTTATTAGGCAAAATAATAAAAAGAGTAACAGTAACAATAAAAGAATATCAATCAATATCTGAAATGATGGCAAAATATGAAAATATAAGAAAATAAGCGATATCTCAACGGATTTACGGAATTAAGAGCCGAAATTGGAAATGAAGCCGGAGATAACTCTCACGCAGCCGATGAGCATTTTTACCAATTTATTAGACGCCGTGGGAACGAGTGAGGCTGGAATTCTGGGTTGCCGCTTGAGATTCCCACGCCCGCACATGCCCGTGACCTGCTGTGCCTAACTTCTCCAACACGGAACTCCGTCAAATCTCCACCGATTGGGACGTTCTTGGTATCGACGGGATCGTAGGAATTAGGACTATTTTTAGATACCAAACTTGTACCGAGTCGTCGCGTGAATGAAGGTCGTTTCCTAATCGTAGAATCGGATATCCGAGCCGAGTCTGTGCGTGGGCGATTATCCCGCCTACACCGCATGTACATAAATGTGCCTGAAGTGGGAACCAAAGAAGTAATGTTACAGGAATGGAGTCTCTCGCGACCGTGTCGACTGAACGTCCACCATGGCGGGTCCTCCTTCTCCATATCTTCCCTTCTCTTTGTTACCTTCTCCCTGCTACCCCCCTTTCTACACGTTCACTCCGCGCTAAGCTTTCCCTTATCGGGTTTTGGTGCTGGCCGGAATATTTATTCTATTTCACGAGACTTCTCACGATCATTTCTTATTCAATAGTTAGCGTCACGTTTATGTACGGCAAGAGCCGAAAAGATGGAACCTAACGAATAACACACCACCCTCTGCTGTGCAACAACTGTAAACCTCCTTGTGCCAACACTGTATTGTCTGTGTAAGATTGTGTATGTCTCGGTCGTCATCTATATGGGTCATCCCTGCCGAGGTTGATGACTCTAGCCACGGATCATGGAGTTCGCGCGTGACTCAACTCAGGTATGCGCGATCACCTTTTGCTGCGACTCATGTCGTTCGCCCAGGTACTGGGCCCGCATCTGTCTCACCTTACGGTGAGCATCTGGTTAACTCTACGGATGTATGGGTATTCGATACAAGCCCGCTCCCTTCGTCGCCGGTACGCTCTCGCGAGCGCCAAGTAGCCATCGAACCCACCACATGTTGTTCGACCTACGAACAACTAACTCCTCCGTCACCGGTATGCTCTTACGAGCGCCAAGTATCCATTGACACATATACAGATTGTCCGCCAGATGAATGGTCTCATACCTCATTGCCAGTACGCCCAACTGGGCGCCAAGTATCCGTCAACCCAGCCTCTGGCAGCTCCCTCAAGGAGCTGGAACATCACTCGTTGCCAGTACACCCAATTGGGTGCCAAGTACCCGTCAATCGATTCTCAGGAAGCTCCCTCAAGGAGTCGCTATCTCACTTGCTACCGGTACGCTCCCTCGAGCGCCAAGTACCTGCTAGCCCTATGTCCTCGACTAGTCTCGTTCAGGACGTTCTCTCAACCTGTGATCCTATACACCCGCGCACGGTATGCTCACATAACGAGTGCCAAGTATCCGTCGTAGCAGGCTCCCGTTCACCGCGAGGTCTCAGCTTTCTGTCAAAAGCTCCACGGCCATCAGATAATTCTAATTGCATGACTAAACCGCCCTATATACATGAGGTGGACGATTCTAAGTCGTCTATAAGGACGGAAAGATGTGGGTTACCCTCAACCCATTTCTTTAACAAGTAACCTTCTTCTCACCTTGTCCACTTCAGTCTGAGTGGCCAGGGACGGCTGTCCCATATCGGGCCCACCAGTACACATGCCCGATCTACCCCCTGCAAGGTCCTCAGTGCCGGGTGCTATACCCGGACCGCCTTGACCCTGGACGCATTGTAACGGGTCTATCGCCTAGACTCGAGACAGAGAGAAGGGGGAGGGTGGTAGTGTGCACGGGTGTGGTTCATTGGGCCGGGTTTTGGTCCATGGGTGCTACTGAGTCTGCAAAAACCTCAAACAAACACTCACCTATGTCTCTCTTGGATGTCAAGGCTGAGTATTATGATGAGAGGGGTCTTAGACGTGAGCAACTAGCTCAGAGGGGGCGTTAGGATCGTGGATGGCGTCTTTGCCACTTGGATGCAACTTCTGCTTGTCCCTTCACGGGTCTATTCAATACTTACTTGTTATGTACAAGCTGTTATCTAGTTTATATATGTTTGAAATGGAATGAATGGACTGGGGGAATGTAAACGGGCCGTTAGGCAACCGTAAATGATGAATATCCAATTGGGAACAAAGAAACAATAAAAGAAATATGAATGAATGGGGAATATATGATAACGGGTCCGAAATGGAAATTGTGAAAATTAACTCCGCAACAGTTCGCCACAGCGCCCGCCTATCCTCCCGTCAGCAACCTCCTTGTCTCCAGCTTTCCAACGAGCCCTTATTCGTCCCAATTGGTGCAGTGGTTCTTGAGATGTGGCCATTGACAGGTGCTGTCAAGACCATGTGAGACTATACTCCGTGCTGAACCATCCAGGTATGGGATTGCCATTCTGGGAAATGCTCCGGGGGTGAAGAAGGGTAGTAGAGCATCACTATCGGGTAGAAAAACGGCTGGGTTGTATGTGTGGTTATGGAGATCTGGAGAGGGGGTGAAATTGGCAGTGTGGTTGGGCATGGGAATTTTGCTTGGGGTTGTCGGGAATGATGGGGAAAATATGGAAAAATATGGAGTGAGTGTATGGAGTGTTGGATAGTGATAGAATGAGTATCGGGAGCGTCAGCGGATATGTACTGCGTGTTGGTGACCAAATTCCGCAGAATCTGACTTTTAGCAGTACACGGAGTTGTCCCCACAACAGCGTCCCTGACAAGAACTTCCAACTGGTCTTCACTTCGGAGCAGCTCACTGCATCCTTACGAGCCACATTCCTAGCCACCACAGTAATCTGGGCAGCCGTACTCATCAACACAGAGACTCTCCATTGAGACATTCTAGCCTCCCTCTCCTCCGATACCACAATCTCTTCTCATCTTGCTTCCCCCAACCTCCCCAATTCCCGCTGGTCCATTGATGCCAAAGGCCTGTTAAGGCTGGACAACTGCATTTACATTCTGGACTCCAATGATCTTCATCTCCATGTTTTGCAAGATGAACACGACCACAAACTCTCCAGACACTTCGGTCAAAACCGGACTCTGGACCTAGTCCATCGTGATTATACCTGGCTGGGCATCCATAACTCCGTCAAGAGCTATGTCTCCTCCTGTACTTCTTGTGCCCATGCCAAAGTTCCCCATCACAAGCCTTATGGCTTACCCAAACAACTCCCCATCCCTGAACGTCCTTGGAACTCCATCTCAATGTACTTCATTGAACAGCTACCCTCCTCTTCCGGATTCACCTCCATCTTGGTCATCGTGGACCACCTGTCCAAACAGTGCATCTTCATTCCTACCCATGATAACATCACCTCTCTGGAACTGGCCAAGCTATTCCTCCATGTGTTCTCTAAGCACAGAGTTCCTCCCCTCTACCACAGCCAGGATGCTACCTCTCTCAGCATGTGCCTGTCTTGTGGCAAGGCTGATTTGGACATATGGGCAATGTCATATCCCGGAATTCCGACCCTGCACTTCTGCACCTCTCTACAACACTCCTTACAACCTCACCATCTCCTACTCCATTTCCCTCTAGGGTCCCACTCCACTTCCACTCCTACCATCTCAGCTCCAGGCTGGACCTTGGCACAGTCACCCTCAGCCATCTCCACCCCGGGTGCTCAGAGCCTTTGGAGCCTTTGGAACCCCTGGACTACTCCGACCCCCGACAGATTCCTGACATTTATATACCTTTAAATCATTCTTCTACCTATTTCATTTACTAGAAATGGCTGCTGCGCTGCCTTGTGTGAGGTTTTCTTTTCATTTTTCATCCAATTGCACTTCAACTCCACATCATAAATTATCCAGATATTTAATTAACAAGATAAGGCAGTTGATAAAGTCTTTTAGAACAGTATACTTGAATGTCATGATGTTATGGTAATAATGGAGAGTGGGAGTAGGAGCTGCATACATGATGCAGACCCAAGAAAGGGTGAAGTGCAACGTGCTTCTGTAAGTTGGCCCTCAGTAAAAGTTGAAGAGCTGTACCGCTGGTGTAAAACCAGTAGGGAGATGGTCACATAGACTGTCTACAACCTCTCAGCATGAGAGGAGGTGTGGGGAAGATATGAGCCCTTTCAGACTCACAGCTCATTGGAGCATCATGCACTTCAGTGAGCTGGCACTCAGCAAAGGTTGAAAAACCCTTGACACAAAACCAGCAGGGAGACAGTCATATAGACTGTCTCTACACACGCAATATCAGTGTGAGTGGGAGGTGGAAGGGATATGGGCAGTTTATTAGAGTGTGATGTGCTTCGGTGAGCTGGCACTCAGCAAAGGCTGAAGTGCCATCGATCCGGCATAAACACAGTTGGGGGATGGTTGTATGAACCATCTCTGACCTCTTAAGATGAGAGGGAAGTGTGCCTGCAGGCACACTAACAGAGAGTCGGATTTTGGCCAGTGAGGATGCAGGATGGCCTCCCTCTGCCCATGAGTGGGTGGCCCTGGTCGAGTCTGATGGCACAAATGGGGTGAATCTTGCTCTCCATAGCCCATCAAAGTGGGCTGCCAACTCTGGCGAGAGGTCTGTCAGTTGGTGGGTCACTGACTCTGCCAAGTTTCTTACAATCTGCTCTAGGTGGTCGAGGTGGTCTTCCATGGCCTGTGAGGGCTGTGTTGGAGACTGAGAACCACTCCTATTAGTGGTGGTTGGAGGTGTGTCAAGGATTTGAAAATCGCTGGCATCAGTGGTTTGCAGAGGTGTCCCAAGGCCAGGCCTTGGGGACACATTGATCTGCCTGGTTTGGGCAGGCAAGGGCATGTTAGGGACCGTGGAGGGTCCCATAGGCATGTTACCACACCTGACATTGTGAATGTCAGGTGGACCGACTCTGGTAGTGCCATAGTCATTTGGCTTTGGGGCCAGTTGCATTAAACCATGTTGCCTTTTTATTGCAGGGCTCATGGGATGACCTTGCAGGTCCCATGGTGATGGTGGTGACAGTGGTGGTGCGAAGTGGGGATTTAAAGATTAGTGTGCTTCACGATGTTGATCTTGCCAATAATGGCAGTTGTAGTGCAATTCGACTTTTGTTGGGTGTCAGGGGACGTGCATGCTCACGCAGGTTGCTCCAATAACCTAGTTGTGATTAAAGCCAGGGGAAAGGGATGTCCCCATCTTAGGGACAGCTGTCATATCCATACAATCCTGACCTCCGCTCTGGGCTCCCGGAACTCCGAACCTGACTTCCGGAGTCCTACTTCCCTTCCATCACCTCCTCCTTGCCGACTCCCAAGAGGTTATCCCACCTCCGGCTCCAACACCACCTTCAGCCGACTCCGGAACATTCCGGGTCCGACCTCAACCTCGACACCTTCCAGACAAGCACGCAACACCTATGCTCCCGACTCCGGACCTCCACTCCGGAATCCCGTTCATGTCTCTGTCTCCAGAACCTCCGGTCTTAGCTCCAACCTCGGACTTTGACCCCACCTCCGCTTATACCCATTGTATTGGTTAGCTCATTCCATTTAATTACATTTGCCAATATTCCGGAGTTTAACTTCGTTCGGACTTTCTGGACTTACGTCGGACCTTGCAACTATTGCTTTGCCCCATTCAATTCCACTATACTCCCTCATTCCTATTTGGGCTGCTGCTTCCTTTCTATTCAGTCAGCTGGCCATTCCCCACTCCCATCCTCCTTCCTTCCTCCTTGGGCCTTGGCCCTTCATTCCTCCTTTGAGAAACACCATTGAGTCAAACCCTTGACCCTCGGTGTTGTTCCTCTTTCCATCTCCCTTTGTCTCCTTTCGTCCTACCCTTGTTCCTTTTGATTCCGGACCCCTCCTTATATACAATGTACATAGTAACTTGTAACCTCAGTCCGAAATCGACCTGAATTCCCCCCAAGAGACTTTCCCTCTGCTAGATCCGAAATTAGGGACCCCCAGGACAACCAGCAATGGCACAGCGCTCTGCCTGAGTCGCTGAGGCCGAGGTCCTTCCAGGGAAGTCTCTGATTCCATTCCGGAGTTGTTTGAATCTGCCCGGTTCTAACAACAGCTATATACATGTAGAGTCCGGCAATAAGGAAACCAAATGGATTGCCGATAGAATCACGTGATCATAGAATGTTCCAGAACAATGCCAGAGATGATCCAGGCCACCGGGGCTTAGGTAAGTGGAGTAGATGGGAATTACCAGCATACTTCCCATGTGCATATGTGCAGCCAGCATAGGGTCCAGGGTTGTTGCCAATCCCTGACATTGGGGTCTTGCTATGCTACTCCAGGTTTTGTCAAAAAATGTAACTCACCAATCATGAACATTATGTAATTGAGTGACTAGGACATGTGGTGGGAAAAAAAAGTTCCTGTGGTGGCAGGGTTCCCACGAATTGTGAGCCAGAAGTGACCTTGCAAGCAAGGTAATTGGAGTCACCCAATATTCCTTGGATGAGTAACTCCAGCTTCATGTCATATCCATACATACCCGATCCTGATTCGACTTCTGGACCCTCCTCTCCACCACCTCTGGAGTCCTACCCTATCCCCATCCACTCTGATCTCCACCATTGGACTGAACACCACCTTCCTCTCCTCCTGAATACATATCTTTTGCCAGCCTCTGCCAAGGTACAACCTCTCGCCTCCATCCCATACCCTGCACTCAGACACCACTTGTACCTCCACTCCAAGACCCCATCATGCTCCTGACCTTGGACTTTGACTCCACCTCAGCTTAAGTCCATCGCATTGGTGACCTCATTTCATGTAAACACCATTGCTGTCATATCCATCCATGGCCACCGACTTCCACTGCTTCTGATCCCTCCGGACTACCTCCACTCCTTCTCCACTAACCTCAGAGCCCCCATATTCCGCAATCACCTCTGCATCCCTTGATGGTCACCACCCCCTCTTTTCAATATATTACCTATGCCTCCCTAAGTATGGAGCCCCAAAGGTTTCTGGACAGCTCTGACATCTGCTGGCGCACTCCCACCTCCGCTGGGCAATACACTTGCTTGCCCTGCAAGCCCACCTTCAGGCCTATCCCTCCTTTCTCTGGGTTATCACCTACCATTCCACTAACCCCATAACCCGACTTGTCGGTAATATTCAATTGGCTAATGTTTAACTCCATTAGCTCCGCTCCGCTCGGCCCTGCCATTTATGGGCCTGCCCTCATTGTAACTATATATACTCAACTTGTACATAGGTTACACCTCAGTAATAAAATCGACTAGAGTTTACCCCCTTTAGTTCTGGTTGCCAGTTAGTAAGTTAGGGCACGGACGTGTTACTTGCCCCAGTGCTCCTGGCATAAGTCGCTGAGGCCAAAGCCCTCCGCCACGGAGACATTCCTTCATCTTGATCCAGTCTCTGACAATTGCCAATATTCCTTGGACTTTCAATCCCACCTCCATAAGCTCTGTTACCTCCAGGCTTCATGGATCTGCTTCAGCACTTTTGCCACCCATAGTGTATATTTCGCATTTCTCCCTCACCCCTATTTGGACTACTGCTTCCTTACATTCAGCCAGTGTCAGGGACAGCTCCGAAAACAGCAAAGTCCTGGTGCAGGGGACTTGATGGGTCAAGTAGTGGCTATGCATAGTGGCAGTCCCATTGCAGGGTGAGGGTCCCTGACCACTTGGTCTGAAGGGGGAAAGTGAATAATCATTAAAGGGGAAAAGCTACAGTACTTACCTGAAGTGGGAAAGTGAGAAGAAGGCTGCTTCTTCTGTTCCCACCCCAGGTGCTGTTATATACATGCAGCTGAGGTCATGTGGAAGGGGCCACATCATCTCTGCACACAGCTCCACCCCTCTGGGTGTCTCTGTGGGAGATCCTGGGGGTGGCCACTGTGTGGGTGGGAATGTGTGTGGTGGGTGCAGTGATAGGGGCAGTGGCATTAGGGTGTCGTGGTACAGGAAGGGTGTGTGGCATTCCCAGGTATGTGGGCATGCCAGTGGTACATAGAGAAAAAGGAAGTTGACTGTTAAAGAAATGGGTTCAGGGTAATCCATTTCTTTCCGTCCTTATAGACGACTTGGAATCGTCAACCTCATGTATGTAGGGTGGCCTAATCATGTAATGAGCATCATCTGGTAACCTTAGAGCTTTTGACAGAAAGCTGGGGCCTCGTGGTGAATGGGAGTCTGCTGCGATGGGTACTTGGCACTCATTACGTGAGCATACTGTGTGTGGATGTGTAGGATCACAAGTAAAGGGGATATCCAAAGCCAGACCAGTCAAGGGCAAGGGGCTAATGGGTACTTGGTGCTCAAGGGAGTGTACCGGTAGCGAGTGATATGACAGCTCCTTGAGGGAGCTTCCTGAGGCTGGGTTGATGGGTACTTGGCACCCAGATGGGCGTACCGGCAATGAGTGGGATTCCAGCTCCTTGAGGGAGCTTCTTGAGGTTGGGTTGACAGGTACTTGGCACCCAGATGGGCATACCGGCAATGGGGTATAAGATGGTTTGTTGGGCGAATGGTCTGTGTTCATGTCAATGAGTACTTGGCACTCATACGAGTGTACCGGTGATGGAGGGGATAGTCGTTCGTAGGTCGAACGACATGTTGTGGGATTGGCAGCTACTTGGCACTTGCAAGAGCATACTGGCAACGAGGGGGACAGGCTTGTATCGAGTACTAATCTGTCTATAGAGTTAACCAGATTCTCACCATGTGGTGAGACTGATGAGAGCCCTGTGCCTGGGCAAGTGACATGAGTCGTAACAGAAGATGTTCGTGCATACCTGAGTTGAGTCGTGCACAAACCAGATGATCCATGGCTAGAGTCATCAACCTTGGTAGGGATGACCCATATAGGTGGTGTCCAAGACATATACAACCTTACACAGACATTACAATGTTGGCACAAGGAGGTTTACAGTTGTTGCACAGAAGATGGGAGTGTGTTATTCGTTAAGTTCCATCTATCTTGGCTGTAGCTGTACATGAATGTGATGCTAACTATTGAATGTGAATGATCGTGAGAAGTCTCGTGAAATGGAATAAATAATCTGGCCAGCACCAAAACCCAATAAGGGAAAGCTTAGCATGGAGTGGGTGTATAAGAAAGGGGGGAAGGGGAGAATGTGAGAAAGAGATGGGAGGATGTGGACAAGGAGGACCCGCTGTGGTTGATGTTCAGTCAACACGGTCATGAGAGACTCCATTCCTATAACATTGACCATAGAACAGAAATAGAGAGAAAGAGAAAAAAGGAAAGGAGAGGGGGAAGGTGAGATAGGAGGAGCAAGGAGCAATGGTGGGGGAAGCGGAGTAAGGCTGTTACGGATACGGAGTCTCCAACAACCATATCCGTCGCATAGTCAAAGACTTCTCCTCTCTATCGCTCCCCCCTCTTTCTCCCTTTCATCCTCTATCCCGATACCCTACCCTCCTTACTCGTTCTACCCCTCCCCCCCCCTCGTGCAAAGCTTTCCCCATTGGGGTTTTGGTGCTGGCTGAGGTTACTTGTGTTTCACGGGATTTCCGTGACCTTACCATTTGTAGATAGTCACGCATCTTGTACGGAAACCGCTGAAGGCGGTTCCCGCTAACTAACAACTGCTCTACAACTGTCTTGTGTGTCGTCTTCTGTAACAACCCTTCCTGTGACTCAACTGAACCCGTGTGACTGTACAACTCACAACATGTCTTATAAGTCTGGTTATGTCGAGTCCTCTAACGGCCCTCACCGTGAGAACTCGAGGTCGCGAGTCGAAGACTCTCGACATGTGTATCATCCTATGGAATCTGTACCCTACAGGACCTCATCACTCCGCTCTCCCCCCAGTGCTCA